TAAGATCAATTTTAATGATTTCATCTTATTATTTATTATTTTTGTTATAATCTTTTCTATATGATATTGAAACTTTTTATTCATGTATATCAACTAAAATTTGTAAATTTAGTACAAAAAAGATATCTGCAAGTTAATCATTTTAAAAATTCAGCAAGTTCATAAGCTAAATATTGAGAATATTTTATTGTTTATAAAATTTGCTTATCTGTTAGCTAAAGTCTCAATATTTTTAAAGCTCTAAACAGTTCAGATCAATCTAAAAATTTTCAGTTCAGATCAACTTCAGTTCAATTTCAAATTGCAAAAAATTTAATCCAAAAATTTTTGGTTCAGTTCAGATTTTTTTCAAATTATAAATCTAATCTGAACTGAAAATTTTGAATTAATTCAAAATTTTAGATTATTTGAAATGATTAAATTTATTGTTTCAAAAGAATGATAAAAGAATTATTCATTTAGAATAATTGAAGTTATCATTTTAATGAACGATAAGAAAATCGTTCAATTGAAATGATTAAATTATTATTCTAATCAAATAATAAAAGGATCATTCGATTAGAATGATGAAATTATCATTCTAAATAAACGAATAAAAGAATTGTTTATTTGAAATGATTGAAGTTATTATTTCAAATAAATAATAAGAAAATTGTTTGATTAGAATGATTAAATTATTGTTCCAAAAGAACGATAAAAGGATCATTAGATTGAAATGATAAAATTATTATTCTAAACAAACAATAAAAGAATCATTTATTTAGAACGATTGAAGTTATCATTCTAAACGAATGATAAGAAAATCATTCAATTAGAATGATAAAAGGATCATTCAATTGAAATGATAAAATTATCATTCCAAACGAATGATAAAAAATCATTCTAAATGATCTGAAATTTCAGATTAATTCAAAATTTTCAGTTCAATTCAGATTTTTATCAGTTTACAGTTTAGTTCAGTTTCAGTTTAGCATTTTTAAGATTTATAATCTGAACTGAACTAAATTGTTCAAAGCATTAAATATTTCTAATGTTGATTCTTCTAAATTTTCAGAATTATAATTAAAATGATAACCTATATAATAAAATTTATTATAAAAATATAAAAATAATGAAAATTGCATAATTAAATATTTACTTTAACGAACAGTTTTGTCTTGATCAAAAAATAACTTTTTTAATCTTAAAGCTTTATTTTACTGTGATATTTTAGGAAATTTAGATTAAATCTGCAAAGTTAAAATCCAAATTAAATTGATACATAATGCCAAAGAAATATTCAACAGACTCAAATCCATAAAACTAAGATAAAATGGTATTTGTGAATAATATTCATGATATGCCTTAATTAGTAAAATAAGTAATTTATAAAGAGAGATAAAAATTGTAAATGTTTAATTTGCTAGAAAGTTTTGTCATATTAAAATAAATTTAGGATATTTTTGAGAAAGAATTTCTATATGAATTTGCTATAGTTAAATAAAAAATATCCAGTCATAACCATTCAAATTTGTTCAAAGTGATGCAATATTATTATTGAGATAACTAACAATTATTTTCCTTTATAAATAAAAAAGTAAGCATTTTAAAACTAAAGTAATTAATAATACAGTTAACTAACAAATACTTTGATATTTAACCATTATAAAAATATAAACAGCAAATCCTTCCATTTCATTTTTAATCTGATAATCAGTTATTAAACTTTGGTAAAAATTTGAGAAATAAAAAGTCTGATAAGCTGCTATATCATTTTGGTAGTCTAATCTAATAATATCATTTTTGTATAAAATAGAGTTATGATTATTAATAAATTGTAAAATGTGATCAATTCAGGCTAAGAAATTACTAAATATTATTCAGATATTAAAGTATTTCTTACTATTTTTTTGTATGCTTTTGGTTTTAGACACATATTACATTACTGACAATATTAAAAATTGGATATGAAATGTTAATATTAAATTGAGATTCTCTCACTATTAACTTTTCATTTGTTTGAATATTTAAAATTGACTGTTATATTTGATACTCTGTTATAGTACTATTAGATCTCAAAGAAAGTATATAAAGGCTAAGTTGCAGTCTAATTTTCAAAACTAATTGTTTATGCAATTGTAATATTGCATTTGTAGTTTCATTTCCTTTATTTAGAATTAAAGTAATAATTACAAGGAGAAATGCTGGTAACAAAATCTGTTTTATAAATAAATAAAAATTAAAGTAATCTAACGATTATTGAATATGGTAAATATAAAAATTTAAATTAAAATTTTACTTATAAAATATATATATAAACACTTTTTGCAATTTCATTTTCTAACTTAATTTTATTAATTATTCTTAGAATATTATTATATACGTTAACTTTATTTTTTCTATTAGTAATATTAATTCAATAATATATTTAAAGCTAAAAAAGTATTATAATTGTGACTTAAGTTTAGTATTATTAGTCATTATAGCAATTGGTCTCTTATAATTAATTATATCAACTAATCTTTTAAATCTAATTACATTTTCATAACAAATGTTCAGATTTATTAAATAATCTTCATTATTTCTTCTTAATTATCTATAAATAATAATTTAAAAATAAAATAAATTTTAAAATTTTAAATAAATTAAATTTAATATAATATGACATTATTGAATTAACTAAATTAAATAGTTTTCTAAATTTTATCAAAATAGTCTAAAGCTCTTGAGCTTATCCCTTCTAATATAGTTAAAAAATCTGTAAATTCATCATTACATTTTAAATTTCTTTTAGACTTATTTTTTATTTTTTACTCAATTATATTACTTATTACTTCACAAAGTTTAGTGAATACTAACATATTCTTAAAGATACTTTTTATAGCTTTATTAGCCAAAGTAATCTATGAGTTTTTTGTATTTTCTGATTTATTATTGAATATATTTTAAATATCATAAAAATCACAGTTTTAAGATATTTATTTATATTAATATTTTTTTTTAAATAAATGAAAATTTATTTATTCTAAATATTTTTATATGTTTATTAAAAAAAAGTAAGTTTAATATTTTATTGTTCTACCTTTGGCTGCTATATACATTTAGATTTAATAGGGTATACTTTCAACTAATTTTTAAATATACTTAAATGAAATTGAATGTCAAATATTTTTTACCTTATGTTTTAAATTTTCCAAACTTTTAGATTGATTAGACAAGTTACGCATCTTTTTATCAACTTCATTTCAAAGATTCTCAATTGGGTTTAAATTAGAACTTTGTGTAGGTTAAAGTAACACAAAAATATTTGAGGTATTACAAACATTAGTAGCAATCTTTGATTAATAAGGTGAAACATTATCTTCTTGAAAAATTTCTTGTTTGTGAGGAACTACTTATAAAGTAACAGAATAGCATGTTTCTATAACAATTTTGCATATGTTTGTCCTTTTACAGATTCATGAAGAGGAACAATTAGTCCCATCTTATATTATAAAAAGTATTTTCAAAACATTCAACTAGGACTGTGCTTTACCGTAACAGTTAAACAAGAAGGATAAAACTCTTCTTCTGGTACACACTATACATATAAATTATGACCTTATAAAATTGACTAAATGTTGATTCATCAGATCATACAATTTTCTTTCACTATAATTGTCTAATCTTTTCATTTCAAAGCTCAAGCCAAAGCTAATTTTTTTCTTTTGTTATCTTCAGAAATTAATGGTTTAAAGCGATAACACATGAACGTAAACCAACTTTTCTAAGGGTTTGATGAATTGTAACAGTTGAAATTTTTTCTTATTTTAATCCATAATTCCTGAATTTTATGAGTGGTGAGGCAGCGATTCTTCGAATTTTATATAACAAACTTTTTGAGTGAAGCTTATGCTTTGGAATCAAAAAGTGGCTTTGGGTTACAACATTTTTTGGTATTGCAGATCCCATTTTTTGAAACGTTTTATTGTATCATGGACAGTCGTTTTGCCACATTGGACATTGTCAGCAATTTTCTGATATGAATTACCTCGTTTATAGCCATAAATGATTGCCCCATATTGTTCAGCCGTTAACTCTTCTTTTCTACCCATTTTGTATTTGTTCGAAAGAGAGTTATTGAAAATTATTGTTATGGTTGTGATCGACATGCTAAATAAATACTAAAATTAGAAATATACATAATTATACAAGTAATCATAAAGGTAGAAATTCCTTTTCTATTTGCTTTCTGCTATTTAAAAGAATTCTAAGCAGCAGCCCGAATGTGATCAAAAAAAAAGAAGAGAAAAAAAATAACCCTTAAAAAAAGAAAAAAAAAAAAATATTGGAATTTAATGCTACAATAAATGCCGCAAAATTAAATTATAATTCAGCTAACAGCTAAAGTCTGAAATATAAAGTGTTAAAGTTAACTGTATTTACGAAATTGTAAAAAAAAAAAAAAAAAAGATAACAAAAAGGGTATCTCAATTTCAGACACTCGAAGATCGTCTGAGTTCCAACTTCAGACGAAAATCAATTTCAGTCACAACACAAATATTAATCAATTTTTTTATTTGCACTGTGCTTGTAATATGTAATATTTTTAAAAAATGCTTTTTTCTATATCAAGTTTATAAAAAAACATTTTGCGGTATGGTAATTGCGTTATTCACGAAAAATTCAACTCCCGATAGTGAATCTGGTAAAATATCAATATGAAACATCACGGGCGAACAATTAGTAAGCGGGTACGTAAATCGGACTTATAATAAGCGGAGGTTATTTCATTTTGAGAGGGAGGAAATATTAACGATCAGCAGAAACGGATTATTATTTACTATACGGATTTGGATTTTATCAGTGATGTTAATTTAGTTATAAAAGAAGCTACATTATTGACCACTAAAGGTTAGATTGTATGTATTATTTGTCATTCCTTTTAATTTAACCGACCGATCGATGGATAAATAACAGGCCGTATATATATATATATCACCCATTTTTCCTCCCATTTGAAACTAATTAATCACAATAAAATGCTTTTTACAATCATTTTAATATTTGTATCTTTTATATCATATAAAATTTATCAAAAATTGAGAGTACCCGAAGGACTTAAAAATGTACCAACATTAAGCTTCTTGGAACTTGTTTTATTTATGTTGTCTAAGGATGGTCCTGACAAACGTTGGGAAAATACACGTAAAGTTTGCGAGAAGGAAGGAATTGGAAAAGTAATCAACATATCATTCTTCTATTAATATTCAAAAGAAAAGTTTCTAAAAAAAAAATTATTTATAGCTTTGGTTCAACGGAGAATGGCATATCGTTACAACCAATTTGGAACTTATAAAGGATTTAATGGCGAAAACAGGTTAGAAATGTTTACTTAATTTTTTTTTTGTTGATTCTTTTTTAACGTTTATAATTTGAATTAGATTTGTATCCTAAATCATCGCTCGAAGAATCAAGTCCTGGATCTTTAGCGGCTCAATACTATGGTACAAACTTAGTATTTTCCAATGGAGATGCAAGTATTTTAATTTTCTCTTAATATGATAATGAACTTTTTCTGACATTCGATTGCCTTATCAATATATAGGTTTGGAAACGCCATCGGTATGTACATTTATATCATAAATAGATTATAGCAGTAATTAATTTCCCTTTATATTTTTAGCCGTATTACAAACCCTGCTTTTAAAAGTCTACCCATGCACGTGTTTGATGACTCTGCTGTGAAATTGCTGAAAGTCATCGAAAAAGTTGATAATGAGCCCATAGAAGTCAATGGTCTTATGCATAGGTAAGAAAATCATCTCGCGTTATTTTTTTAATTGGAATGAATTTATAACCTAATTATTACAGGCTGACTTTAGACGTTCTTGGACGAGCTGCTTTTGGATTTGATTTTAATGTGAGATATATTTCCTTTTATATTTAAAAAATATATATTATGATTAATTGATATGATTAAATAATTAGAATCTTGAAGATCCAACAAACATTTATGTTACTACTTATCATGAAGTGACAGCAGAATGTGATAATCCAATATATTTTCTTTTCCCGTTCATTGAATATCTCCCATATTTTGACCGTACTGAAGCGCGTAAAAAAGTCGCAAAGCTTAATGATTTATTTAATAGAATTATTGAAACGAAACGGGAATCAATGAAAACGGGAGAATTGAGTAAAAAAATAGAAAATAATTCCGCTGACTTGTTAGAATGTATGATAAACGCTTCTAACGATCCAAAAAATTACATGTCAGATGAAGAAATGCGAGTAAGAATTATCATTTGTAAATAACTTATTTCAAAGAAAAAAATTTTTTTTTAATAGTAATCTTAATTTATAGCATAATCTTGCGATATTTATGTTGGCCGGTCATGATACGAGTAAGAAGATATTAATATAATCATTTATCTTATTTAATTAAACTAATAACCTTATAATATAATTAGCTGCAACTGCTTTATCAACCATCTTATATGTCTTAGCCAGCAAAAAGGTATTTAAGTGTCTCTTTCGTATTTTGAATATCTTTCAAATAAAATTAATTTGGATCTTACCTTTATTGATTGAATAAGGATTTGCAAAGAAAAGTTCGTGATGAAATATTACACGTTCTTGGAGATAATTTAACACCAACCATAGAACAACAAAGAGAATTAAAATATATGACCATGGTTATAAATGAAAACTTGAGATTATATCCTCCAGTTTGTATTCTTTAAAGTTTGAATTTGTGACATGACAAAATTTATTTATTAAAAAATATTATATATATTTTTTATTATTAAGGTTCATCAATTGCCACGAAGAGAAAATGCAGAGATTATTAAATTTCGGAATCATGTATTTTTGCCCAAAACACCCATATTCATAAATATTTATGGAATCCATCATTCACCAGGAAATTGGAAGGATCCTGAAGAATTTATTCCTGAAAGATTTGAGAACGAGCATGAAAAACGCGATCATCATACTTGGTTAACTTTTGGTGGTGGTACCAGATCGTATGTCAAAGATTTTTGGTTTTGATTTTGATTTTATTTTTTGATTTTTCGTTGTATAACTTATTTATTGTTATTAATAATATTAAATAGATGTATTGGTACTAATTTTTCACTTATTGAACAAAGAGTGATGTTGTGTGCTTTATGTAAGTTGTCTATTTCTTTATATGTATTATTTTCTTTCTGAAATTAATTATTTTCTCTCTATATATAGTAAGAAAATATGAGATATCTTTACCAGCAGATAGTATTCATAAAGATAAATTACATCTTAGACGTGCTAATGGTTCAATAACGGGACTACATCCAATCGATTTAATATTTAAAAGGACAGAATAAATTAAACTTTATTTTTAACCTATGTATAAAATATTTTTGATAGTCAAAATATTTTGTAGTCGAACTTTAAATAATCCTTTGCATTCTATTTATTTGTTCTCATTTGGTTTAATGAAAAATTTCTCAAACTATAAAAGCTTTATGTTAAATTTGATAATTAAAACTTAAAAGGAATATAAAAACTTTTGATTAATTGTGAAACTTCTTAATAACGTTCATTGAATTAGAACTGTTGTATCCCAAATGCGTTAATATCCGAAATGCGCAATTGGGATATCCCAAATGCGATGATCGTTTGGGATATTCGCTTGCTCCAAATGCATGTTTCGGATGTCCTAAATGCCATTGTAAAGTTTGTTTACATTTTAATAAAAATAAAGTTTTATAAATATAAATATTGAATATAAATAATTTAAATTTTCCATTAATACTTTAAATAAAATATAATACGAGGTTGTAATTTAATAAACTCAAATCATTAGTGGTCATTTAGGACGGTCCGAAATAAGTCTGAATTGTTCTTTTGGAATATCCCAAATGCTTATTTGGAACATCCAAAATGAGCATTTGGAATATTATCCTTAATGCGCATTTTAGATATCCAAAGTGTGCATTTGGGACATTGTTCAAAATGAGCATATGGATATCTGAAATAGGCATTTAGAAAATTATCTGAAACGTTCATTTGGGATATTGTCTGAAATGCACATTTGGAATATTTGAAATGTGCATTTGGGACATTATCCAAAATGTTTATTTGGAATATTATCTAAAATATGCATTTTGGATATCTGAAATGTGCATTTAAGATAAATTCGCATTTAGGACAAGCGAATATCCCAAAAGATCTTTACATTTGGGATATCTAAATTGCGCATTCCTATTTAAAGTATCTCAAATGTGTATTTCAGATATCAATATATTTGAAGTACAACAGAGCTATCAAGTACTTTTTTTAAAAGATTAATAAATAAATACACAAATAATTTTATAAATATAATAAAATGTTTTATTTATTTATTATATGAATATTTAAAGATATATTATTAAAAGAATGAGTCAGATAATTTTTATAATAATAATTTGTATTGTTTAAATTAAATATGATATTAATTTTTAAAAGGAGAATTAGATTATAAAGTTAAAACTGATTATAACAATCCTTTTTATAACAAACACAAACTCAAAATTTAAAATTTTTAATAATAGTTTATAATAATTCATATAAAAAATATAGTAATTTATATAATAAACCTTTTTCTTTTTTTAACATAACTATCATTCATTATAAAGAGTATTAATCTAAAGTAATAAAACTTTTAATAAGGTTAAATTTTATGTTTTTAAACACTATGAAAAAAAAAATTTATAAATAATAATAATTATCTCAAAATAATATATTTATAATTATTTAAATATATTATTAAAATTTTTAATTCATTTTTAAACTTAAAATCAAAAATGATTTTTATAGTATTATATATATTTAAGATTGCTTGTCTATACTCATTTAGATTTAGCAAAATATCTAAACTTTAGTTTCATTAATTTTTTAATAAGATTTTAATATAGTTTCACCTTTTTATAAGTATTGATATAATTTACCTTTTTCAGAATTTCACAAATTTTTTAATAAGATTTTAATATAATTTTATTAAATTTTACCTTTTTCTATTTAAATGACTTATAAAACCTTTAGATTTTATCTAACAACCTTATATATATTTAATTCAATTAAAAAATTATTAAGAAATATAATATGTATATTAAGTTATAATCTAAAAAATAGTGAAATTTATTTTAATATAATTGTAAATTTTAAGATTAATAAATAAATTTTATAATTTAATAATTATTTAATAATAATAAAAAAGTTATATTAAATTTACAAAATAAAAACTATATAATAGATAGTAGTAAAAAATAAATGATATTTATATAATTTATTTTTTTTATCTATTTATTTTTTCATTATATTAAAAAAATTAACTTTAAATAAAAGATAATTTATTTATATATAATTTATAAATAAATAAAATTTATAATATTAATGAATTATATAAAATAAATTTTTTTTAAATTTTACTTTATATATTTATATCTAAAAATTTTAAAACTTTTGGTAATATTAAATTAAATAATATTCAAAAAGGTTAAAACTTTTGTCTTTAAATAAATAGATTTATCTTAAAATATTAGCTAATATATAAATATTAAGTATAGCAGCATAAACTAATATTTATGACTTACATATCTAAAATTAGCTTAGTTTAATACAGCCACTTGGTTTTTTGTTTTTAAATTCAAAAAATTTTTTAACCAATAAAATTTGATATTTAACATTTAAAGTTTTATAATTCAGTTATTCACTCAAAAACTTCATATATTAAAATTTTTCATATTATATATGATATAATAAAATTTAACTATAATTATTTTTTTATACATATTATTTAAATAATTAATAAATAATAATAAATTACATGTTTATAATTATATAAATTTATTTATATTTTGCTAACTTTTAATATATAAATTAACTGCATTTTATTGACCAAATTAAGCAGAAGAATTGATCTATAAAATTAATTATATCTTATTAAATTTCCTTTTATGAATGCACTTCTGATTAAAAATCAGAATAAATTCACATATGTTAAATAAAAACACATTAAAACAAAAAATTTTTTCTTTTATAAACCTTCTTTTAAACTTTATCAATATACCATTTGTAAATATTCACATCTCTAAAGGATCACAAACTCTTTATAGATGATACATCTATCCTATTCCTTATGATATGATATTAATAGATTTTTTTTATAAAGCTTGTAACTAAATAATTATTTTCTGAATATAATATTACTATAACAATTTCTGAAGTAGTAGAATATATTTAATTGAGAAAAAATACCAATATTACTTATAATTTAAGTTAGTCTTAACTGCAGTATTATAGAACTTATAGTATTCATAGGAGTATATATGCACTATCAGCTTAAAAATAATATTGATATAATTCCTGATTATAGATGCCTACTGAAACCTCTTCAAAATAATTTTGTCATACCCTTTTCTATGTTTTTAATATAGTTTTAACAGTTTTAACTTTTGTCATATCAAATGGATTTCATTGTATCCCTTATTATGATTTTAATATAGTTTGTCTAAGTTTTGACTATTATTAAGGGGTTTCGTCCCTCATCTATATTTCTGATTCTATATTATAATGAAATAGCTTTATAATTATAATGTAAAATGCATATTAAATCTAATTATACCTGCTGATCTTCTCACAATCAGAAAAACTAAATCATAAGCAAGTATTATATTATGATCTTGTTGATTAGATTCATTTTTATAATAGAGGATAGACTACTTAATCACTTACTAATACACAAGAAAAATAATTTATTATTAGCTTAGTTAAAATAATTTGATATATTAACATATATGATCATGAGAAATTCAAATAATGAGATTATCACATACCTGAGTTTTTCTATAAGTTTTTTAGCTATACAAATCCAAAATCATACAAATAATTATAAAGATTCTTTGATGCAAATGAATTTAACTTATGTTGCTAAAATCTTGCTTCATATGTTATATTATTGTGAATACTAAAGAAGAATTTTGAATAGCTTTATAATGTACTTAATAATTTCATTATTGCTATTTCAAATTATGTTAGATTTTTGCAATGCTAACATATTATTATTGCTGCAAATTATATATCTAAAAATCTTATACAGATTATTGATCAGGTTACAATAATTAAAGTATATAATAAAAATATTTGGATAATATCTATTAATAAAACTAAATATAGTAATCTTAGAAACTTTTTCACTAGTTTATCATCATAAAAACTGATTGATATTAAAGAATACTTATTAAATAATCCTATATAAGTAGATAATATTATTAGTAATTATTAATATTATAAAATAATCAAATCATATATACTAATAGATAAAGAATGTGCTATATCTAAGACTTATATCATGCATTTTCTTTTAAAATGAGAGAATACTGATTTAACTTTAGAAATAATTCTTATAATATAATCTCAATATAGAAAATTGATAAATAAGCTAGTGAGATAACTATATGAGCTCTTTATAATAAAAAAAGGAGAAAACTGCCAAAAAAATTTTTTTTGAGTTAATGTTAAATCTGGACTTATTTTATTAAAAAAAAAAATAATATTTAGCTTATAAAGCAAAAAAAAATTTTTTTGGTAATTTTCTCCTATTGCAAAGAATCTATATTATAAGAAAATATTCAGATTATAAAAGAATTACAAGTTATCACATCTTGCTATAATATAAGAATAATACAGATAAATTATTTATATACCTACAATTTACTTTTTTCAAAGGTCAAGTCATCAATATTATAAATAATCTATCAAATACTAATAAAAGATATTTCTGTAGCTAATACTATAAATAATGCAAAAATTAATGAATGCATTAGGTTTGTTTTAAAACTTAACAATCTAAATTATTATTAATTTATGTAAGCATAAAAGAGAAAAATTTAACGAATATGATACCTTTTAGATAATTGTAGTTCAGTTTCTTATAGAAAAAGTAGCAGATATATAACTACTGTAGATAAATGAAAATATAATATATTTATTTATCTTGTAATTACAACTTTAGTGAATGATCTTTTATATCAAATTAAATTTAAATGCTTATCCCAAATGTTAATTCCTAGTATACAATAGTTGAGATTATAATTCTAGTCTAAAAATCCAACATGGTTTAGTAATTTGCAATTTACTGATCACTTACCTTTAAAGTTTATAGTTCAAATGTAATAATTATAAATTTATCATATAAATACATATTATGTATTAACATTATTTTAGTACAAGAAAAAATTTGCTATTAAATTTTATGAAATTACAAGTCTTGTCTTTTTAGATAATAAGTATCATTATAAGATTAATAAACTAGGTTCTCTATTACTGCTGTCAATAGAGAAAA